CAAAATGTTATTATCTTTCAGCAAGATGTTACGAATTACAAGAAAGTGTTGGACAATATTAAACTGTGTTCATGGAAGTAGATTAGTAGTTCTGTCCTCGATTATTCTTTTAGTTGCATTAGTTAGTATTATAACCCGGGTTTATGTTTCTCATAGTTTCTACTTTAGTTTTGAATTATAATTATGCCTCTGTGTCTCTTATTACGGGTTGGAGTATCCCTTATACTTCCTCTAATTTAAATCTCTTTTACTTATAAAAAAAAAAAAAAAAAACTATTTTGTCCATAGTTTAACCCCTTTAACTAAACACGTGGAACATAAGTTTGTTTTTGATCGTTACAGTGTATCCATTATAGCTGCATATAAAAGACATATCCATTTATATAGAGGTATATGATTTATTAATTTTAGTATTTTAATTTTGTAGTTAAATCGTTATATATATATCTCGATTGGTTGACATTTTAGAAGAGGAACAAAATAAAGTTGTACTTTGATGTTTCATTAGTATCATGAATTTTTTAACTACAACATTATTTTGGTGAATATTCATAGATGAATAATTAATTAATGATATGTTATTGTTTTTTGAAACATATTAAAGCCTTAATATATTGCTCGACATCTTGGAAGTGAAAAAAAATACTAAGGATTTTATCACGACTTACTGGACCAAATATAATATAATTTTGGTAAATAATTATGAATAATTAGTATAATTAAAATGACATTTGAAAAAATAATAATATATACTTGATGGTTAATTAGCATTGCATTATCACTTTTTTCTCTCTCTTGATGACACTTCTTGCCTCTAACCTTTTACAGTCTAACAATTTTATTTTAAATATATTTTTTGTAACTTTCTCCAATTTATAAAATATATATCGTGAATTTTGACCCACATAAAAAAACATCACAATTAAGATAATTTTGTGTTAATTTTTCTTAAAACCATCACATATAAGATAATTTTGTAATAATTTTTTAATACAATTTTCCTGCGTCGGATAACTTTTATGATATTGTGTATGCTGAAGAGCAAAATTCATGAAAAAAGTTTATTAACAAAAGTCACGAAATTGTAAAACTTTGAAGACAAACATTACAGATTAGATTATTAATAGCTGCTGTGTCTTTTATCTTTAATTAACATGAACAAATTGTCGCTTTTTTTTTTAAATAGAAATATTACTTATTGTGTCAAATTATCTTTTGGTTTTGATCGATGAATAATTGAATATAAAGTTGGTTATACTTAAAAGATGTAACTATTTGTGTAATTGGAAAAATGTTTAATTAGATTTATATCAGTCAAATAATTTGCCTACCGATCTATATATATATATAT